CAAAACATTATCAAAAGATTAGATAAATGAAAAGACGTCTTGTTCATAGATTAGAAGACATAATAGTGTCAAGAGGACCACACTACCCAAAGTGATTTACAGATTCAATGCAATAACAATCAAAAATACCAAGCGTTTTCGTTTTGTAGGAATAGAAAAATTCATACTGATGGTTATGTGAAATTTCAAGCAATTTCAACAGCCAAAGTTATCTTGAAAAATAAAAACAAAGATGAAGGAATCACACTTCCCAATTTTAAAAGGCGTTACAAAGGTATAGTAGTCATAACAGTGTGGTGTTGGCTTAAGGACAGACATATAGGCCAATGCAATAGATAGAGAGCCTCAGAATAAATCTTTGCATATAAAGTCAATTGATTTTTAACAAAGGTGCCAAGGCCATTTAATGAAGGAAAGGACATTCCTTTCAACAAAGGGAACTTAAGAAAACTGGATATTCCCAGGCAAAAGAATCATGTAAAACTTTTACCATATACCACATACAAAAACTTATTCAAAATGGATCAAAGACCTAAACTAAGAGGTAAAATTCCAAAACTCTTACAAAAAATAGCAAAATTACATGACATTGAATTTGACAGCAGTTGCTTACATATGAAATCAAAAGCATAGGAAATAAAATAATAAGCAAATTGAATTTCATCAAAATTAAAATGTTTTACATCAAAGAATGCTTTCAAGTGAAAATTTTTGTAAGTCATATACCTGATAAGTGATTAATATCCAGAATACATAAATAACTTCTAAAATTTAACAAGAAAAAGAATGATTAAAGGACTTGAATAAACATTCTCCAAGGAAGATACACATATGGGCAACACTCACTTGAAAAAATGCTCAGCATCACTCATTATTAGTGAAATGCAAGTCAAAACCACAACTAAGGACAACTTCACACCTATTACAATGATTCTTACTGAAAGAAAACAAAAGTATTAGAGCAAGTTGAAACAGAACTATTAGAAAGAAGTTAAATACCTTGTGCAATGCTAGTAGTAAGGTCAAATAGTACAGTCTTTGTGGAAAATAGTACGGCAGTTTCCCAAAAAGGGAAACCTAGAAGTACTATACAATCCAGAAATTTCACTTCTAGGTAGAAACTTAAAAGGATTGAAAGCAAGGACTCAAAGAGAAAATTATACACTCATGTTCATAGAAGCATTATGTAAAATAGCCAAAATGTAGAAACAACCCAAATGTCTGTCAATCATCAACAGATAAATGGATATAAAAAATATGCTATAAACATACAATGGAATACTATTCAGTCAAAAAATAAATGAAATTCCTCTGAGACATGCTACACCATGGATAAACCATGAATGCGTGATGCTAAGTAAAAGAATGCAGACACAAAAGGAAAAATGTAGGATGATTTCACTTGTATGAGGTACCTAGAAAAGGCAATTAAATAAAAGCAGAAAGTAGAATAGAGGTTACTAGGGTTACCAGGGTAGGGGTAGGGAGTAAAGTGGGGGTGATATTTAGTGGGTACCAAGCTTCTGCTTTAGATGATAAAAATGTTCTGGAAATGAATAGTGGTGGTAACTGCACAACATTATGAATGTACAGAATGTCACTAAGATACACAGTTAAAAATGACTTACAGGTGTTTTATGGTACATATATTTTCCCACAATTAAAAATATTTTTTAAAAAAGAAAATCCCTTTCTACTCCTTACCAACATATTACTAAGTCAAAAAAAGGAGCTTTTTCCTGAAAATGTTCAAAACTCTGCTAGCATTAATAATTATGATCCAGCATTGAGTCAGAGGCAGCCTTAACAATTGGTTAAAAAAAAAAAAAAAGTAGTCACCTGTACATAGTGATTTTAAGTGCATACAGGTGACCAAATGGCTCTAGCTATTAGAGACAAAGGAATTTTTATTAAGCATTTGATATTTAGTTATTTTAACATTTGACAATAATGATGCAGCCCACGATCATCAAAATAGATGCAGAAAAAGGGTTTGACAAAATCCAAAACACTTCCATGATTAGAAAACTCTCAACAGACTAATGAAAGGAAGTGTCCTGAACTTGTTAAAGGCATCATCATAAAACCTACAGCTAGCATTATACTTAATGCTGAAAGATTGAATGCATTCCCTGAAAGATGGGAAAAAAAGCAAGGATTTCTGTTGTCACCAATCCTACTTAACATTTTAATTGAGTTTGTAACCAGTATATAATGGAAAATAATAATAATAGAAATTAAAGACATGTACATTTGAAAGTATGAAGTACAATTGTCTTTATTCACAGATGATGTCATCATATACATAAAAAGTCTTAAGGAAGCCACAATACAACTACTAAACCAAATCAGAAAGGTCGGTATGTTTACCTATATAAGGTTGATATACAAAAGTAATTGTATTTTCAAATACAAAGAATAATCCAAAAGTGAAATTAATTATATTCATAAAATTATCAAAAAAGAATGGAATGCTTATGGATAAATATAACAAAAAGTACAAAATGTATAACATGATAACTACAAAACATTGCTATTACACATCTAAAGAAGACTTAACTAAATGGAGAGCTATTCCATATGTTTGAATGGAAAAATTAATGCTTTTATGATGTCAATTCTTTCCTAAATTGATTTACAAATTTAACACACACCCTATCAAAATCTCAGCAAGTTGGTCCTTTTGTTGTTGCTGCTGTTTGCAAAAATGGACAAGCTGATTCTAAAATTTATAAAGAATTACAAAGAACCTAGAATAGCCAAAATAACTTTGAAAAAGAATAAAATTGGACCCAGACTTCCAGAAATCAAGATTACTATAAATCCACACTAAGCAAGATAGAATGCTGCTAGTGTGAGGATAAACATATAGATCAATGGTACAGAATTGAGAGTCCGGAAATAAACACATTTATGGTCAAATAATTTTTTTAAAGGTGTCAAGGCAATTCAATGAGGAAAGAATAGCCTTTTATATAACTAATAGAGGGACGATTGAATGTCTACATGTCAAAATACTGATATAGACCTGTATGTCCTATCACACAACTAACTCAAACATAACTCAGAGACCTCATATAAAAACCAAAATCATAAAATATCCAGAAGAAAACACACGAGGAAATATCTGTTAACCTTAGTTTAAGGAGATGCCAAAAGTGAAACTTATAACAAGAAAAAAGGAAGATAAACTGAATTTCATCATAATTAAACATTTTAAGCTTTGAAAGGTATCATCAAAAAAGTTAAAAGACAAGATATAAAGTGAAAGAAAATACTTACAAATCACATATAGGATAAATGACTAGTTACAAGACTATATCTAGAACTGTTACAATTCAATAATAAAAAACAAATGAACAACCCAATGTGAAAATGAGTAAAATATTTGGATAGATATTTCACCAAAGAAGATATACGAATGACCAATGATCACATGAAAAGTTATAAACATTATTAGTTATTAAGAAAATGAAAAATTAAAACAACAATGAGATGCCACTTTACACCTATCAGAAGGGTTTTTTTTCCTCTCTCTCTTTTGGAGAAAAGATGACACCAAATGTTGACCAAGATATGGAAAAACCAAAACCCTCATAAGTTGCTGGGGGAAATGTACAATGGTTAAGCCACTTTGAAAAAGTTTAGCAGTTATTTAAAAAGTTAGCATAAACTTATCAAATAACCCATACATTTAATTCTGAGAAATCTAAGAGGAAAGGAAACACACACCCACACAAAGACTTGCATAGGAAAGTTTATTTTTATAGCAGCATTCTTCATAGAAGCTTCAAATTGGAAGCAATACATATTTCCTTCAACTGTTCAATAAACAAAATGAAAGGTAACCATATAAAAATTGGATACCATTCAGCAATAAAATGGACAAGTTATCGGTAGATGCTAAGTCATGAATGAACTTCAGAATATCATGCTAAGTGAACAGAGTCAGATGGAAAAGACCATATTGGTATGATTCCATTTGTAAGAAAAACTTAGTAAAGGCTAATATATAAATACAAGTAGTAGATTAGTGACTGAAATGTTCTAAAACTGGATTGTGGTGATGATTGCACAACTCTATAAATTTACTCAGAACTGATATATACATATACAAACACACACAACTAGAACTGTATATATAGCTACTTATTAAAATTTATTTTCCCTTAGGCCAGGTGCAGCGGCTCATACCTGTAATCACTGCAATTTGGGGAGCTGAAGCAGGAGGATCACATCACTTGAGACTTAGATTTAGTGACTGGGCTGGGTGTATTAGTCTATTTCATACTGCTATAAAGAATTTCTCAAGACTGAGTAATCTGTAAAAGAAAGAGGTTTAATTGACTATGGTTAAATATCCTGGAGAAGCCACAGGATACTTAAAATCATGGTGGAAGATGAAGAGGAAGCAAGACACCTTCCTCACAAGGCTACAGGAAAGAGAATTGCTGAGAGAAGGAGGAAGAGTTGCTTATAAGACCATCAGATTTTGTGAGACTCACTCACTATCATGAAAACAGCATGGGGGAACTCCCCCCATAATTTAATTACCTCCACCTTGTCTCTCCCTTGATATGTAGGATTCTGGGGTTTACAATTCAAGATGAAATTTGGGTGGGGATGCAAAGTCTAACCATTTCACTGAGCAACATAGCAAGACCCCGTATCTATAAATAATACAAATTTAGGGGGCTGTGGTGGCGTGTGCTTGTAGTTTCAGCTACTTGGAACAATGGAAGCTGAGTCAGAAAGATGACTTGACCCTGGGAGGTCAAGGATGTGGTGAGCTGTGATGGTGTCACTACACTCTAGCCTAGGCAACAGAATCAGACCTTGTCTCAAAAAAAAATTTAAAAATAAATAATAAATAAATAAACAAAAAATTCCCATTCCTCTACCACTAGAAAAAATATTATTTTCATGTACTAGTATGGAGTTTGCACTCATTGTGTTTGCTTTCTCATTGTTAATCATGAATATATATTCCAATATCACAGGAGTCTATGATGCTGCTCAAACCAATAGCTATACTGCAAGGTAAGTAAAATAAGAAGGGAACAGCCAAAAATCATAAAAATTTCATGGAAGGGAGCACATCCCCACGGTGTTCAGGAAAGCATTAAGGTAGTGGAACTAACAAGGACCAAGAAAAACAAGAAGATACAGTCTTCATCATTTGAGATGGAGAGTAGATATTCTAGATATATATAAGAAAAAGCACAGAGTAAAATATGCTCGGTGTATATTCAGAAAACAGCTATCTCTGCAATTTTCAATCAGTAGGGCTTGGAAATAATAGTTGCCATCATTGGAAAAGGAATTGAGACCTTGAACTCCAACTGGTGGAAAAGCACCATACACTTTAGGAGGATTTCCTGAATCAATGAAAGGATCTCATTAGGAAGCAAAGTTGCCTTATTTATTAAGTGTACTAGTCTGTTTTTACACTGCTAATAAAGACACACCCAAGATTGAGTAATGGAGGTTAAATGTACTTACAGTTTCACATGACTGAGGAGGCCTCACAATCAGGGCAGAAGTCCAGGAGGAGCAAGTCACATCTTACATGGATGGCAGCAGGCAAAGAGAGAACTTGTGTAGGGAAACTCCACCTTATAAAACCAGCAGATCTTGTCAGACTTATTCACTATCATGTGAACAGCATGGGAAAGACCCACCACATGAATCAATTACGTCCCACTGGGTCCCTCCCATAACATGTGGGAATCATGGGAGCTACAGTTCAAGGTGAGATTTGGGTGGGGACACAGCCAAACCATATTAGTAAGGAATGTACATCCCATTTGAAGAGATATTCTTATTTCAAAGGTTCCTGAAGCTCTGTTTTCTAATAATTATATTTTAAAATCTGTTGTGAGTCCTCATCTTACTCTCATAGAAGTTACCAAATTATTGTTATAGCATATATTTGGCACAAAGCAATGTTTTCAGGTATAGTCATCTTTGCATGCAATAAAAAAATTTATGTAGAATTAATTTAAAATTGGTTTTTGATAAAAGTCACAGAACTCTTTAAAATATATCATTAAATATGGGGTATTACAAAGAGATGCTCAGGAGCCCTATATTCCTCTTTTTACAATAATTTAAGAGAAAAGTCTTTGTCTTCTGAACTTGCTTTAAAAAAGAGACCAAATGAAATACAGCCAGGAGGATATCTGAGTATAAAATATCTATCAAGAAGTACACTTTTCTTTCCAAAAATGAATGTCTGTTATTTTGTAAGTTAATGAAATAAAAATTCCGTTATTGCCTTTCCTATGTCTTTGTGAGAACTGCAAAATATCACTAAACAAGATTTTTCCTCTATTTGCGTGAATTAGTTGAGAAGTAAGATTTTTAATTGTCTGCTAAATGCCACCAAAAAATGTATATTTTATACTATCTATTCAAGATCTTTTTATCTTTTTATTCAATACCAGTGATAATTATTTTTTAGAACTTAATCAGTGGAAATTCCAATGTATTAAGACCTAAAAAACAAGAAAAGATGTTGTGCTTAGTAATTGTTATTATATTTATTTTTAAACTTAGAGCTAAGTATTGAGTACAGATTATTTCTAATATCATATGTATCCCTAAATATACATTATTATTACCAATATTGACTACTTTATTGATATATTTGCACCTCTTTCTAAGCAAAGTTCTATGACTTCTCACAATATATTTTCTTGCCTATAGGCAGCTCCAAACAATGTATTTTATCATTCTAATTCACTACAATTATTAGAAGACCCAATAATAAACCTGTTTTATTGATGTATGTTGAAGACATTTATGGAGTTAGGAACATTTTCTAAAAAGCACAGAAGGAGACAGTGAGCTACATTTTATAAAGAGTAATTCTCCTAGTCTAGATAAAATAATGGAAATAGCAATTAGTTTATTTAGTAAACTTATTCTACTTTTAGGGCTTAGTATTAATAATACTAAGTGAATTTAATAATAATGTTTTGGTCATTTAAAAAATTTTGACTTGATTTTAACTTGTGATTCTTGAAAGGATAGCTTTCTTTATGACAAAATTTAGTCCATATCTAGCTTAATACAAAATATAAAAAATGAAACAAATACTTATGATCTGAAAATCAAGAAAGAATAGTTGTGGGCAGGACTCATTTAGGTCCTCTTTTTTGGGCAAACTTTAGTATCTCCTGCTGTACTTTCTAGAAAATGTTCCTAACTCCATGTTTCCAACATATGTTAATAAAACAGATCTATAATCTGGTCTTCTAATAATTTTAGTGAATGAAAGAGAAAAATATTGAGCGAGTTACCTTTAGAGCTTTTATTAATACCTAAAATATACATTTGTCTGCAATGTCTGCCTAAAAAGTTAGTTACCAAGAGCTAGTGAACCTTAAAATCAGTTTGTTTTAATTACATACAGAAGTAATATTAGTTGATAGTGTCAGTATATCTGTGAGAGACATCAGATACATTGAAACATAAAATATAAAATAAAGAACAAACACAAAGTTTGTGTTTAATTAAAGCAACATAGATAATCTAATAGTAAATTTTACAAGACAGAATAATCTAAACATACTCAGTCCCTTTGGAAGATTTTTATATTATTTCCAACAGGATCTGTTCACACACAAAAATTCAATTCAGTTTATTAACAGGTAGCATATCATCTCTAAATGAAGCTCATTGCAATCTAAAATGGACCCTGAATGAAGCTAATGAGCAAGCTACTGCCTGATATCGACAATTAATCAGGCATAAAAGCATTTAGGATCAGGACCCACTGACAAGCATGTATACTCATACAGATTTCAGTGAAACATGGTATGTGAACATATTTGTCTAATTGTACACTGGGTTTTCGAACAAATTCCCACCAAAACACTTAATTATCTGCAGAGGTGACGCATCCATTTCAGAATATGTAGGAAGCTTTTTGGTTTCCTGTAACCATATATAATGGATTAAATGAAGTTTAATAAGCTTTGGTGCCAGTTTTTCCATTTTAATTGCTATAGCAACCTGAAGCCAAAGTTGGATCACTAGATAGAGTAACTGAGCAATTAAAAGCAACATCTTTGTCCTTTGATAGAATTATCCTTGGCCCTTAAGGAAAAAAGAAAAAAAGAAAAGTATTCAAAATAAATGAAAATTTGGAACATGACAAAAGTATCTCTTTACATGTAAATTGGGGAATTATACATTAGTTAGCATTTATATTTCTCCTTTTAAAGTTTATAGTTGAAAATATTCAAAATGAAGACTATCAACTTTAAACATAAGAAATGAGTTATCACAAATATGAATGAGTATATCTAATGAATAATAAATCACTCACAGCTGATTTCACCCTGACATATGGAAAAGAGGAAACAAAAACACATACCTGTTGTATGGTTCTTTGCTTTTAAAAATAAAATATCATTCATTTTTGAAGTTATTATGTAATATTTAAGGGACCTATGTGTTTAATTTCTCTAATAGGTCAAATTGTAGAATAATCTCTCCTCTGCTCCCTTTCCAATATGTGATTTTTTTCCATCTCCTTATAGTTTATTTAAAATTTTTAATTCCTGAAACAACAAAAGGAAAACACAAAATTTGTTTTTTAAGTCTGGTAAATATAGCCTTTGCATGCTGTTGAAGATAAAATAGTTCCAGGTGTTTTTGACTGAGATCTTTAGTTATAGATCGGTTCTTTGCTTTCAAATACAATATCATACTAATAGTTTATGGTGATTTGATCTTTCTTAGTTTAGAAGCTTGCTTTTCTCTTTCAAAGGGAAATCAACAAAAAGTATTGCTTCCTTGCAAATTGACAGGAAGGTTTCCAGCATAATAAGAGTGCAGAAAAAANAAAAAAAACTTAATTCAAGGATAAAACTGTGAATAAGTGGAAGAGAAGACTATGCCAGGAAAAGAGATGGAGGCAGAGCCCCAATGGAGTAAATAATTTTGGAAGAAGCTAAATATTGGTATAGATTTTTTCCAGAATATAGAGAAACATAAGCTACAATGGACAATTTCCTTAATGATATGCCATGTAGAAATGCAAATTTACATACAAGTAAATTAACAGATAGTTATTTACTGTATGAAAGTTCTCATAATATTATTTCTTTATAGATTTAGCTCCTATATTTCACTTAAAATGAGAACACAATTGTTAAATATGGTTTACACATTAAGTCTCTGAGACAGAAATACATGTCTTCTAAGAGAATGACCTAATTCAAATTCCAAATTAAACCAATAATTTTAAGTAAATGCATATTCTGGTCATCTCTCTTCATGTAATCTCTCCAAACCTGTCAATAAAATAGCAACACAAATATAAACAAAAAGAAAACGGCAATAAAAACTGATATTCATAGCCATCCTATTATCAAAATTTGGAAGCTACAAAACTTACAGAGTTGAGAGAAGAATCACATGTGCATTTTGCTTAAGATAATACAAATACTATAGTTTGATGAGGATGCAGAGATAATTTATTTATTGCTTACAGCTTGGATGATGGCTCATAATCCATAATAGACATTGAGAAAACAAACCAGATACAATAAAAGAGCTGAGGGTTGCTACGCCCTTTCCAATTTCCTCCTCCCATAATCAACTTCTCCTTAAATTCATTCAGAAATGACAACTTCATCTCTCAGAAAACCACAGATCAGATGCAGAAAAGTAATCCTTGGATAAATTATATCATGGGAGATACATAGCTCAGCTACAAAGTCCAGTGAGGCAACAGACCGAAACAGAAAGAGTCATGGGAAAACTTGATGCTGAAATTAGAATTCCTAGCATTGACTGTTACTTCTGTGGGGGCTGGAGCTGATGCCTCTTGGATTGACAGAGCTTATTTATTTAAAATGTACTTTCAGCTCTGGGGTACACTGCACATCCTGCAGGGTTGCTGCATATGTACTCACATGCCATGGTGGTTTGCAGTCTCCTTCCACCAGTCACCTACATCAGGCATTTCTCCCAGTGTTTTCCCTCCCCAGCCTCCCTGCTCTCTGCTGCCCCTCCCCAGCCCCCAGCCCCCAACCGACTCCAGTGTGTGATGTTCCCCTCCCTATGCCCAAGTGTTCTCATTGTTCAACACCCTCCTATGAGTGAGAATATTCAGTGTTTGATTTTCTGTTCTTGTGTCAGTTTGCTAAGAATGATGGTTTCCAGATTCAAAGGACACAAACTCGTCATTTATTATGGCTGCATAGTATTCCGTGGTGTATATGTGCCACATTTTCTTTGTCCAGTCTATCATTGATGGGCATTTGGGTTGGTTCTAGGTCTTTGCTATTGTAAACAGTGCTGCAATGAACATACATGTGCATGTGTCTCTATAGTAGAATGATTTATAATCCTTTGGGTATATACCCAGTAATGAGATTGCTGGGTCAAATGGAATTTCTATTTTTAGATCCTTGAGGAATTGCCACACTGTCTTCCACAATGGTTAAACTAATTTACACTCCCACCAACAGTGTAAAAGTGTTCCTTTTTCTCTACAACCTCTCCAGCATCTGTTGTCTCCAGATTTTTAATGAACACCATTGTAACTGGTGTGAGATGGTATCTCAATGTGATTTTGATTTGCATTTCTCTGGTGACCAGTGATGATGGGCATTTTTTCATAAGTTTGTTGGCCATACAATTGTCTTCTTTTGAAAAGTGTCTGTTTGTATACTTCACCCACTTTTTGATGGGGTTGTGGGTTTTTTTCTTGCAAATCTGCTTTAGTTCTTTGTAGATTCTGGATAGTAGCCCTTTGTCAAATGGGTAGATAGCAAAAGTTTTTTCCCATTCTGTTGGTTGCTGGTTCACTCTATTGATTGTTTCTTCTGTTGTGCAGAAACTCTTAAGTTTAATTATCCCATTTGTCTATTTTGGCTTTTGGATGCATTTTTAGGATGCATAAAAGGAAATTACCTGTCTATGAAGGGCAATTTGGTGTGCTTCTCAAAAATACAAACAAAAAAAGGAGGAAAAACAAAAACATTCCGAAATCTAGCAATTATTATTTTTAGGAATTTATCCTACAAATATGTTCACTCCTGTGAAAGAGACTTACATACAAAGCCTATTTGAAAGAATTGTTTGTACTATTAAAAGACTGAACACAACTAGATCTGGAAGGAAACAATAAATTATGCAAATCCATTTAGTGTAACATCCTGTAGCTATTAAAACTGGGGAACAATTAAGGGAGATTGAAAGATATTGAGGGATATAGTCATATTAAAACAAGGAATGATTTCTAAGATAGATAATTTTGTAAAACAAATCAAGTTGCCAAAAGTGTATAATAAAGTATATTTCTGTAGATACTTACACATGTATAGAAATACAAAAGCTAAATTAAATCCACCTGAAAATCAATGAAATCATAGAATTTTGTGAGACTTCTGAATGAGTTATGTGAAAGACAAGAATCATTGCTCTCTCAGAATGAAGAAGAAATTGGCAATGAGATGAAAATTATAAAAGAATATTGGCATGGAAGAGTGAGAAGAGACAACCCAAGAGGATTTCTTGTTCTTAAGATCCCAGAAAAAAAATATAAAATCAATAACATAATGAAAGAATAATTTCTTAAGCCAAAGAATTAGGCAACATTGCGAACCTATGGAATCCATACTTTCAAATTTAGGAACAAAAAATAGAGTATTTTAGTTTTCTAGGTAGGTAAGAAATACTTACATAGGAGAAAATATGATTTTAAACTTCACTTCTGAAACATTATTTTTAAACCAATATCAAAATATTAATATAAAATAATTGCCATGTAAATATAAAATAATTGCCATGATTTTGAAACTATGTTTTGCCTAAATTATTAATCACATTGGACATTAATTTTGGACATACATGAGTAACAATAGGATAATCCCAGAAAAAGTATATACACACACGCATATGATAAAACGTATCATAGAATGTTTAAAAACAAAAACACTGATCAGTTCAACTAAAAAGAGCAAAGCTGGCAATATTATTTCATGCAAAGTAAATGCATTTTCATGACAAAAATATTGAACTCTTTATATATATATACAAATATTTTATGACGATTATAACTATTAATATTTGTGTGCTAAATTAGCATAACACTATTAGAAAAATAAGGGTAAACATAAGGTAAGAAATATGTAATTGCTTTGAGAAATTCTACCTCCATCTTTGTCTTTCTTCGATAAGGCAATAAATCAAAGCTAAATACTTGAAAAATATAATCCATAAGACTAGATTTCTACATATACATAAACAGCTCAACCACGGAAAATATCCTTTTCGCTAAGTTTACATGAAAATTGAGCCTTCCCAAAATATAATTACCTTCACTCCCATATAATGTAAAACATACTCTATGAAACAAATATAAGCTAGAAAATAATAATTAATATTTTTAGCCATAACAAAAATAAGCATTTTAACATTTAGAAATTAAATATTTATGGAGCCAATGATGGAATTTAAGAATGTTAAAGAAATATAATGTGAGAATGTAAGAAATGTTATGCTAAAGATAAAGAGAGTAGATCCAAAATGCAGTCACTCATGCTGAAGTTTCATTCCACCGAAATGAAACCTAAAATTTTGAGCTTTCATAAAATCAGGCACAAAATAACAGCAAAATTATGTTACTCCAACAATATTTTACTTTCATCCCTATTTAAAAATTAACCTCAAAATGACCAATTTGATATTCTTTTCTTGTTTCTTCTTTTCTACACATTTTTTGCACATGTAAAGCTTATTCCTCTGTTTAGTTCACTAAAGCTCCTTTTTATTTTGTAGACAGGATAATACCCAGTTTATGAATTGCTAATAAAAAGCCAATTAGAACTTTGAAACTTAATTTGTGGAAATGTTACTTACAGTGACAATCATACATTATTAAAGAAATAACAAAAAAAAAATTACAACATGTGAAATCTATGGGAAACTTCCCAAATGAGACAGTATCCTTTGTTTTAGATATTTATTTTAAGGAAATAATAAAAATAATTCAGAGCTAAATCTGAATATTATAAAGAACTGGACTTTTGTATACTATGGTGTTGTTTGCTTTACTTTTCTGTTTATATTTTTAATAGATTTTATGTATTTTAATTAATAAACCTTATTTTTTTAGAGCAGTTTTAGGCTCACAGAAAAAGTACATGGGAATTAAAGAGAATTCCCATATATTCCCATTTCTACACATGCACATCTTTCCCCAGTACTGACATCCCATGTTACAGTGGTACATTTTTTATAATCGATTAAGTTACATTGGCACAACATTATAATCCAAAGTTCTTAACTTACATGAACATTCACTCATAGTGTTCTACAAATGTATAATAACAAGTGTTGTCCATTCTAGTATCATTCAGAAGAGTTTCACTGCCCCCAGATTCCTCTCTGCTCTGCCTGTTTACCCTTCCATTCCACCTAACCCCAGGCAACTACTGATCTTTCACTGCCTCCATTCTTTTGCTTTTCCAGAATGTCATACAGTTAGAATCATACAGTACATAGTCTTTTTAGATGGGCTTCTTTCACCCAATATGTGTTTGAAATGTTCTCAACACAAAGAAATGACAAATGTTTGAAATCATGAATATCCTAAATATCCTGATGTGGTCATTATATATTGTATGCATGTTTCAAAATATCATATGTACCCCATAAATATATATAATTATTATGTATCAATAAAAATAAATTTAATTTTCTTTAAAGATCAAGTTAACTAGATTCATGCGTGTCTATTTCTCAGTTCTCTATTCTGTTCCATTGATGTATTTGTCTATTTTGTTGTCACTACCACATGGTTTAAATCTTGTAACTTTAGAGTAAGTCTTCAAAATGGTTAGTGTCAGTCCTCTGACCGTTCTTCAATACTGAATTATCTATCCTGCATGCTTCGCCTTTTCATATGAACTATAGATTCACTTTGTTGATATGCACAATATAACTAGATATAACTTAATGAGAATTTGATTGGGATTGCGTTAAATTTGTGGATCAAGTTGGGAAGAACCAACATCTTGGCAACTATGCATCTGCCTATTAATAAACACAAAATACTTCTTCATTTGTGTATTTCTTTTTTGATATTGTCACAGGATTCTTTTTTGATATTGTTACAGGATCCTTGAGGTGTCACTTTTCTGGCCAAAAACCTCTGTGAACAGTGGCTCTTTGCCCAGGTTTTGCTTGGGCCTGCTAGGTTTGTTCCACCTAGCAGGCTGTGCTCAGCTCACACGTCAGGCCTAGATCCCATGTCTGCCAAGGCTGAGTCAGGTGTGGAGCAGTGAGTGAGCATGAGGCCTGGCCACTGCAGCTGGGTGGGAAGCTCCAGGTGCTGGCACAGGAACCAGCTCTCTGAGAGGCTGTGGCTGAACTGGGCACATTGCAAGCAGCTTCCACAGCTGGCAATGGAGAGTGCAGTGGCGCCAAGAAGCTTGGAGATACCAGGAACCAAAGGGCCCCAAAGAGAGAGTGACAGCCCTGACCAGAGGAGCTCCCATGTCTAGGCTCCCTGAAGGTCCACAGCTCTTCTCTCGTTCTCTTTGCCTGCAACGTGGTGAGCATGAGATGTGTTTCAGCCCTGTTTGTTTTACAGCTCTTTTAGCCCTGCCATCCAATGGATCCCAAGTTCTTGTCCTGCAACCTGGAAGATTGAGATATGCAAAGTGGAGGGTGAGCAAGATGAAGAAGAGCTTTATTGAGCATTAGGAAAGCTCAGAGGAGACCCACAGTGGGTTCTCCTTGGTGCAGCCAGGATGTTCTGGGTGCTCAGCTCCTAGCTGAGAGGAGACCCTGGAGTGGAAATCTCTCTGCAGGCAGGTCATTTCATTGTTTTTGCAGCCTCAGCAGAGAGGAGGCCA